ACGGAAAGCAAAACGACTGAAGGATTAACTTTGTAATTCAAGTATTTTGTTTCATTTTGTCCTAGGTGTAGAAAGTACATTTTATTCAATGTGCTTCAAAATCGTTCTCCAGCTTATCGACGTCGCTAGCCAAGAGTTTCTGGTACGCTACTCTCCTCATAAGCCCGTATAAGGAGAGTAGCGAATCAGATACCCTTGGCTTGCGAAGATGCCAGCTTATCAGTATAAATATTTCAACATTGAAAGATAAACTAAAGGAAATCATACATCTTACCAAATTCATTCCTTTCTTAATGAAGACAAATCTGATCAGCTAACAGCATCAAAACACGATTTTTTATTGATGAAATAAATAAAAATTGTTATTTACCACCAAATACCTGCTTCAAAAATGATTCAAACATGGTCAAAACTTTCAAACTTACAATCACATTCACTTAGGGACATTTCACATTAAGTTCTTCTTCATTTAAATTTGTATAAATAATATTTTAAAGAAAATTTTTTATTTCCCTTTGTAAAAATTATATCTATAAACCTTCAAAATTTTTATTTATGTTTGAAAGAAAAACAACGATTTTGGATGAAATGAACATTTGAGATCACCGTATATTTATAGAAATAATAATTTATTAAATTGAAGAAAAAAAACAGATTTAAGCATGAAAGCACACTTTGATTCTAGATAAGAAGATCGCCAGTTGGGACCTTAAACTTGGTTAGATTTTTCTTTAATTAACAAAAAATAATTTTCTGTTATATATTTGGCAGCTTATTGTCTGAATTTTTTTTACTGAGATTAGAAAGTTAATTAATTAGAATCATAAATACGAAATAAGACAAAGAGACGAATGAACACAACACGATTACAACAAAGGTAACAGTTCTGTCTCGTTCATTATGTCTGAAACTCACTTTTTATTGTGTCCGATTTGTGAGACCTTGCTCGCCATATATTGTGTAAATAGGAAAATTCGTATAGGTAGTGCACATACAGTTAAATATTATCCTATCCATTTCAATACAATGTTAAGTCCAAGGCAACGAATTCATTTATTGAAAATGAGGCAAATGACTTCCACTATTCAAGTTTTTGTACAAAATTTTGAAAACAATACATTCAGTGAAAACACACCGTGTCATTGCACTTTTACTTTAAAATTCCATTTGTTTGCAGCTGTGAACATTCAGCATCAAATACATCGTCCTCTAATTTTTTATCTTAACTCCTACTTTTCTAAAAAAAATCTTACATCTTAATATATAATTTTTATCACCATAATTGCACTTGTCAAGTACATTACAAGTTTTTTGTCTTTTAATGATCAATAATGTTTCCTGTCGCATCTTCTCCGAATAACTTTCTGCGTCCGAATTGTCGGTTCCCATTTATAAGTATGTACGAGTTATTCCAACAGACATTTTCTAAACTATGAAAGGATTTCAACCAATAAGTTTATCAAAATAAAGCACAGTCGATCTGGATTTTCCTGGCACCTCTGCTCATATTATTTTAGATTAAATTTAACATTAGAATTACTAATATATATTGCAATAAACATGTCGATAATCCCGAGAGACGTTTTTAATTCACTTGCTTGTGTTAAAAATGACTGAAATAAGGAGTATTAAAATTAACAAAGGGGGAACGGAAAGCTGAGTAATACTATACCTCGAAGGAGATGATTTATGGAACTTAAGGTGTACAAATTTTCCCAAAACGAGATTAAATTGGGAATGTTTAAGAAGGTATTCAGGTTCAGTTGATAGAAAGATGATTTCCAACTCATTTAACGATCCAGAAACTACAATTTATTATAGATTTTGTGTGTTAATGAATACAAGTATGTACATAGATTTTTTTTAAAAACTTTTATTAGATTATTATCGTACATGTAAGATTTTGCAAATGAATAAAATCCATTTAAGTCTGAGCATAAAATTACACCTCATGTGTTGCAAAACAAGCTTTTCGTGCAATGGAAAAAGAACAATATGCATATATGCTAAGTAAAGATTAAATATTAAAAGAAAAATGCTAAGGATCTCAAATAACACCAAGGTCCAGCTAATCAAACTTAAAAAATATATTTAGCCATGTCTGTTTGTCATGACACTTGTCGGAAATGTTAAAAAAATCCATTTTGTTTATCCCTAATATACTTTATTTTTGTAGTGCCCTCTTTTTGCTGTATACCTACTGTTTTTATATTTTTTGCAAATATTGTTTATCTGTAAATTTAGGGGATCAGTATATTAATATGTATTTGTGCGATTACCTTTTGATCTGATCCCCTATCATGTGATGTATATATTTTTTCTTATTTCGTCATTTTAATAAATGACATATTTCATCTCAACAATGGTGTTGATTTTATTTGATTATATCTCAGCAAAAACAGAGCTGCGGTGAGATTGTGCAGCATGAGGAAACATAAATATATTTTTTCATTAGAAGATTCAAATTTTAACAGTACAAATCGTGAAGAGGGCGAAAACTCGAAATTCCTAAGGCAAGATGTAGACCAGTAAACATAAAAAGAGACCTTACAGTGTAACATGGAAAAACTGCAATTGTTCCGTTTGTCATACAGTTTATTTAGATGTTAGTTGGTCAATGTCACCTTTAGTCAGTAAAACTTTCAAATTTTAAAGAGATACGACGGACTTTACAATATCTTTTATTTCGAATTCACTGGGATATATAGAATTGACATAGGAATGGTAATAATTACAAGTATTTGTGTCTTGGTTTCTGTAACAAACTTTCAAAATTATTTCAAAATTCATAGAATCATTTGCAGGTAACAGAAAGAAAAAAAACCACTTAAATAATTTTGAAATAAGAAGAAAGACTCGTTTAAAGGGGCTGGGTGGTTGTGGCCATTTTTAGACTATTTTGATCTCCTTTAGAAGAAGAGCTATATATAAAGATATAATAAAATGACCAAATTTTAAAACTAAAATTTATGAAATTTTTCTTTACCAAATGATAGTTGACAGCTTAAGATATCATATCCCAAAATCCAAGTTATATCTGATGGTTAATAAAAAAAATAATTTGTTGACCCCCTAGCCTCCTTAATGTAACATGTAACATGACTTTCGTTGCATGAATGAAAAAGTTTTTTTTTAATCACGTCTTAGCTAAATTTTTTCAGAGAAAGAGGAGAGAAACAGCTCAAAATAAATCGTATTGTATTTTAGTATTCCAAAGTAAAAACAAAAAAAAGATTAATTTTGCCATCAATTACATATTGTTTTGCAGCTGGAATCAATAAGGATTTGTAGCAGTTTCACAGAACTGTTGTATTCAGAAATGATTTCTCCAGAGCAAGTAAGGATTTCAAAGTCTTTTAGAATAAATCATAAAGTAATGAAAAGGGGAAATAAACATAAAAGATGTTTTTTTTTGTATTTTAAAAATGACTCTTGTGACGTTTTTGTACATTGTATTTATATCATTATATACATGTATACTGTCAGAAGCATACTATAATATAAAGTTCTTGCTTTGTAAGTAGATTATTACTGTACTGAAAAAAATAAACATCCAGACATGTTTGTTGAAACACCCTATATCTTAGCAAAAAAAGAACAGTTACATATATGTTTTTTTTTCTTTCAGCTTATTTTCATTTCATTAATTACATGAAACTTAGTAATTAAAATATTTGATGCAAATACGTAAACTAACAACACGGGGGCATAGTGTCCTGTTATAACCTAAAGTAAAAAGAGGGCTGCTGCATTTATTTTCAGGAATTTTCCTTCCATTTTTATTATGACATGATACATATAATATAAAAAAAAGAAGATAAAGTTATTTCTGCAGGAAGTTACATGTACTATTGTTAATTGGTAAAAACACTTCGTCGATAAATCATAAATCTGAATGTCTCTTATATTAAATGCCACATTTGGTATTTTCTTTTTCTCAGGTAAATAAAAATATAGATTATGGTTCATACAAGTAGGAAGATCACTTTTCACACACGGTGTTTCATATATAGATAACAAGCACTGTCAGTATAGTCCGATTTCATCTGTTTCTTTCAGCAATGTTTACTACTAACTCAATATGGGGTGACTGGTTCATTTTTTTCTTTGTAGGTCTATGTTATCAAACGCATTAGTCGCTTAAAAATATTAATACAGTTAAAAGTAATACTCCAATATATCAACTCTATGATCCATATGCTAAATGATGTACAATAACCCAATAAACGCGCAAGGCTTTCTAATTACTTTACTGCTTACTTAACTAACAATTGTTCGGGTTAATATTAAAATAATTTTTCGACCAAAGTCTATAGTTTAAAAAAAGATAATTTACTTACACCGAAAAAAAAAATGGAAAAGATGTATATATATTTTTTATATTATTTTGATGAAAGTTGTTGGTTGACAAAAGTGTTATCGATCGACCTCAAAAACCTCATTGTTTTCTGCATCTTAGGGCACACCTTTCTGCAAAAATTATTCCGACCCAGTCTATTATTTATCCTATTCCGTAAAAGCGAGCTTGGGTTTTCGTCCCCCTGGATTTGAGACGGGATTATCAACACTGACACTGAATATCTTTACATTATAAAGCCTCTATTTGTCTAATCTTCTAAAATATTAATTTAAATGGAGGAAAGAAACCCAATACCCATGTGTTTCCGGGCTAAGAGCATGAAATATAAATGATATACATTTATGAAAGCCGATATATCATAAAGAAGTGAGATGAAATAGTCAAAGTATTAACATTTCATTCCTTCTCTTATGGGAACCATATATACATGTCCTTCAATCTGCAAACTGTCTGATAATACGTTGAATTGTAACAATATTTTAACATTGAAATAAGATACTACTATTTACCAGAAAAAAAAATGTAACTTGATGACGACCACGAACAGGAAACTGAAATGTGACGTCAAGTATTGTATCCAATCACTCTCTTGAACCGATGCCCCGCGCGAAACTAACGCCTATTATTTCCATATAATTCACCACACGATAAAGTTAGTTCAGTCTCTAAAGTAGAAATCAGAAGAGAAAAGGGAAAAATACTTTACCTGTTTATATAAACAATATTTTTGTGGAGATGGTAAATACATTAAATGTAGTGCAAACAGTACTGCTGATTTTGGCCATCAGTGATTTGTGTTGGACAAGGTACTTCCTTCTGAATGAAGACAAAGAAGTTATCCAACCACAAATGGAGGTAAGACATGACAAAAAGGAACAAATTTAAATGTATCAATGTTATTACACTATTGAGTAACAAGTATTTATTAAGCCATAATGCCATACTTCATTTTTTTTCCTATGTACCAAAATCTCTGTAAGAATTATTTCTCTACAAGATTATGATTGATTGAATAACACATAATAACCGTTACTACATATTTATATATCTTAAAAATAAAAACCATTGATACTAGTGCATTACTTTAATGTGTATTCAATGAACCATATTACCGCAAAAATATAATAGAAATTTTGGGATAATTAAAATCTTAAATGCTGTAAAATTTATCTCTGGGGTCAGGCTCTAAACGTATTATTAATGCAAAGTATTGGATTAATAATTAAGCATGGTAATTTATTGTCTATATGAACATTTTACCAACGAAAAAACGAGAGTGGCGCTGCCAATGTTACAAAATTAAACAAAATATTCAAAATAAATTAGAAAATGTTATATTAAAAATGCCCAAAGCAAAAATTACTTCATTTCTATATAAGAAGTATTTACATGTTGTACATTAATGACATAAATCTCTAATTCACATATCACTGTGGGAGATGTTTGTTTTAAATCTTGATTGATAAGTGGTGGTAAAAAAGCCCAAGTGACTTCTTAAAATTAATTAGTATTGGTGATTTTTAGATACTTTGTTGCTGAAATCAGATGCTATTTAAAGTTTTTAAATTTTGCGTCTGTTCAATTCATTCAAGCTGATTTAACTTCTGATATTTAGTAGTGGAAACTCTCCTTTTGAATAATGCACTCTTAATTAAGGTCATTTCCTGATAGCACTGATGCGAAGTTCAGTTAACATGAATAATTGATTACATATAAAAGGGTTTTATCGGGCATATTTGATAAATAGAATGATTGCATGAAATTTATTTTGAATTGAGCTTCATTTCTAACTTCCTGTCACCTTATTGAAAGCTTATCATTTTCCACGATAAGGTTTCCTATTCTACTATTTATAACAGGTATTTCAATTTTCACACTACTTAAAATCAAGCAGGTCGTGTTTTCATATACCTTAAATCTCAGCAAGGAATGTTAAGTCTTTATTTATCATTCGTTTTGAGACTTGAAGTGAGAATTTCTTTTTATCCTGATTTTCTTGATTGCTCGTAATTTAAATGAAAAAAATAAGCCTTTTGAAAAGCTTGTTACTTAGTTATCTTTGCCAAAATATATGGTGGTAAAACATTTATTTTTGCAAATTAAAGGACATATATATATATATAACATTTTATCTTGAATCATTTTTTATGAGATATAAATTACTGAGATTCCCAGAAAATTTATCAGAATTGTTTCTAGTTTTGTACATCAGCAGTAAAGCAAACTAATTTAAAACAAACAATCCAAGACTAGTTCTTTTTTAATATGTGACCTATGTTTTCTATTTTTTTTAATTTTGAAAATGATGAAAATTGAAAAACATACGGAGATGACAACCTGAAACGACGATAATTTGTATTTAAAGCTTCAAAAGAGAATTTTTCGTGTTCTCGTCCTGAATGAATTTTACATTGCAATTTTTAAAAATTGATCAAATTTGCAACCATGCATTTCTTTGCATTTAAGATTAGGATCCGGTAAACTAAGTGAAAAGGGGTCTTCAAACGTTACTGCTTGTGGAATATCGAAGTTACGACGATAATGAAGAAAATATTGCCATTAAAATTTCCAAGGTTAATGATAAGCTTATAATCAAAAAGTTCAAAATAAAAATGTGATGTCATTTCTTGATAAAAACATATGCATTTGAGCTATTGTATCTCTTATACTCTAAAATTATCATTTCAGCATGCTACAATTTGCTAAAAATCCTGATATTATAAAACATTACATCAGAAAATTACTATTATTTGGCAGAGAATGAAAAACGACAAATGTCCTATCTGTCGGTAGATTTAAACACAGTATCATTGGATTTTACCAATACGTTACACGTCTCCACCATTAAAGCCATCATGCATTCTTAATGGAGAGCAATATTAAAATAAAATGACTATTATTTGGCATAAATTGAAAAAGACTATGATTTGCTATTTTTCTCTTGAAGAACTGTTATTGAGGAGAGGAACTACTGATTTATAAGTGTTTGTTGCCCATCCTTTTGATGAAGCTCATAAAATATGTCGACAAACAATAATTTCTTTTCATATAGATCCTACATTGCAGAAGACGTCAAATAGTAAAAGTTCATTACAGCATCACGTACATTATGAATATTATACATTACCCACATACTACGAGTATGGATGGCTATCTGAAACTCTGAACGCTGTTGGTACCGACTACAATAGAACTATTCTTTGACGTGTTCGTACCTCATAAAAACGTCGTTGATAATTAACTCTCAATGCTGGCAGAAATTAAGATTTATACGTGCACATGGACTTTTAAAATGTCGACTAATCATGTCAAATACTTTATAATTCTGTGAATCAAACAAGTTTATTTCATATAAACCTGTTGCCTTAAGAGTTATCTTAAAACATCATATGTCTTGGGATTCCATAAGGAAAAACTAAAAAGTATTAGCACCGTAAAAGTGTTTTCGTTCGATTTTTTTAATTCAAAATCGCACACCTATGTGGGAACTCATTTCCTGAATTTGGATAAAATGGAAGCGAATATAAATATTTAGTTGAGAATTTATTCTACTTAAGTTTTATACAACGTTTGATCTTTAGTCATGAAGATTATTTCATGGATAACAAACTAATTATACGAATAATCAAATGGAGGCTTTTACCAGTGCAAGACGGGGTCTGATAAATGTACTGATTAGAATGCAAATTTTATTATAAATTGATTGTAAAGAAATGAGTATTATTTATTAAAGGTTAGAAATCCATTGTAGTTGTCATATGAAACTACTAATGCATTAAACGAGTTATAATGAAATAATCCAGTACATGACAAAAACATTAATTGGAATAATCCTCTCGGAAACTTAATAATGCTTTATTGATCTCAAATATTTTTCAAAACCATCAAGAAAAGCAATTGTATAAACACTTATATATCAAAATGATGAAAATATGCCATAAACAATGCTAAAAAATATTGGTGCTTTTGGAAACTGCAAATGATTTGGGGTAATTTTAGATTCTGTTTTTGATATTGGTAAATTACAAATTATAGAGGGGGGTCAAGGTTTGGGGGAAAATGATAAGATAGTGGGGTTTTTCATATCGTGGATGTAGAAAAGTTTTTACACATATGGCAATTTGCATTTCGTGTTGAACAGAAACCCGAAACTCTCTTTATACGTTGGTAACAAGGAAAATTAGCCCCAATGCTTCAGCATTTTCTTTCTTGAAGTGAGTTGTTCGCATATTTTCTCATATTTTTGTTTAATAAGTAGTGTGTTTTAAAATTACAATCGGGAGACAGTTTTAAAGTACTCTTGTTAAAAAACATGTGTTCAGTGGTATTGATAAAATGGTGGACAATGTCTCGTCTTAGAGCATTACACAATGTCTGTATTGTTTTATGTCAATTCGTGTGTTTTGTAACCCTGTTTTCTGTGACTGTCCGTAGACACGTGTTCGTCTTCTGCACTAATCACAACGTAGGCTAGATTCATTTCACCAGCAAGGAGTTTTCGGTAAGATCATTTTCTTTTCTTACTTTTTTTCTCTATTATTGTAGTACTTATATAATCAATGGATATGGAACTTTAACCTCCAAAAAATAGTAATAGCAAATTTATATATCAAAACATTTCTCCACTGAATGACAAATCCAGTTTATTTTTCTTTTTTGCCATTTCTGATATTGTTTTTTTTTTACATTATCTTTTGATGAAAATTCAAGTAGAAAATTCCGTTTGGGATCAGTAACTTAGAAACAGTAAGCGTTACCTGTCGACTGGTCATATCTGCAGTATGCATTATGTTTTGATTAAATAAACGGATTAATCTTTAGTAAAATGTATTATTACAAAGGTAAAAGCATTACAAGTTCAAACTACGACCAAATTGCACATTTGGATAACCATCATTTCTTGGCTAAATCGTTGTTTCAACTGGAAAAACAATGCTGGAAATTAATTGAAATATGATTCAGACTTGATGCTTGCGGTGATTAAATTCAGTGCAATTTGATATTAATCCTCCATAGAAATCTCCAGAATTTCAATTATCTTAATTCAGTTTATTCAAAAATGTTTTAAACTATTTTTTTTAATTTCAAATGCAAAAGCAAATAGGGAATATGAATCAAAATTTATACTTGTAATTCAGTTCAATAACGTTTTATGGAGAATCTCTGTCACTTGTAAAACATCATGTACGTGTTTATTGTTGAATGTTACCACATGTTGTGTGTGTATCATGTACCATCCTGTATTTTGTATGTATAATGCTTTTAAAATGTCTTTTATGTTCATTGTATAAAGTTTTATAACTTCTTCAATATATAGAAAAAAGGCATAAGAATGTATTCTTTTTCTCAAACACAAACTATTAGACAAAGTTAGAAATAGAATTGGGGTACGTACATGGGTTTATTCATTCATATTAGAATCCAAGCTTCACCCATCTTAAATATGTAAAACGATCTTGCTTAATCCTTCATTTTATATATCTATTTATTGCAGATGATAACCTATGATAGGAGTCTGTAATTTAATACTTAACTTTAAAAATACACAGCAAAGGCGTTGCTCTTTTCAAATACCCCACTTTTGAAGTTTGAAAAAAAAACGTGTAAAATATTTATCTATAAATTTATACTTGTTTGACCATTTTTTGAGTCCATATACTTTCATGATAAATACCATTTAATAATATATAAATTAAAAGATTTTTTAATCCAGAACTACAGTATTGTTTATATAATTTGTTTTTACTTTTTGCAGGAATCAGTCAACAGTCCCTTGCAAACAAGATTATCACCAACGAAACAATATTTGCTCTTAATGCGTATACTTAAGGGCAAAAATTCAGTGGACCAAGAAC